TACGAACCAATCCAGAAGGATATATGAATTCAAATGAAATGCTTTTTTGGATTGAAAATATCTGGAAACGTCGGGCTCCTTTATCTGTTATCCTCGTTTATTACTTGTTCTCGATGGATTCTGTGGCCATCTTACAGATCCGGTTAAAAATCGATTTAAAGAAAAAAATACTAATATTGCAATTATTCCAGGCGGACTTACTAAAAAATTGCAACCATTGGACGTATATATCAATAAATCTTTTAAAGAGGAGGTAAAGTAATTTTTTTTAATTAAAAAATGCAAATTTATTTAAATAAATAAAAATAGAATATTTAAATTACAATCATTATTACGGCTAATTTTTAAATTAACCATAACAATACTTTTTTTTTTTAAAGTATCGTAAGCACTATCTTAATTGGATGGGAGAGGAAATTAAAAAATTGACACCTGCAGGTCGTATTCAACGCCCTGCTTATAATTTAGTAGCCAGATGGATAAAAGAGGCATGGGACCATGTTGACCCCAATCTTATCAAATGGTCATTCAAGTGTTGTGGCGTATCTACTGCTCAAGATGGATCCGAAGAGGATATTTTGTTTAATTATAATTGGGTTGCTGATCCAGAACGTCGAAATGAGGGTGGTAATCATATATATTTTAATAATTCAAGCAAAAATAATGATGCTGTTGATTTAACTTAGGGCAATAATAGTGACAATTATAGTAGCTCAGATGAAAGAAGTGAATATGATAGCGATGGCAAAAATAATGATAGTGAAAACGAGAATGAGCATGAAAATGAAAATTATAATATTCGGGAAGAGGATGAAGATAATTGGAATGAAGGTAAAGTAAAAAAATTTTTTTTTAGAAAAAAAAATTGAAAAAATGTTAAATTATTTAAACTTAGACAAGTTAGATGAGCAATTTAATTCGAATAACCAAGAAAGTGACGAGAATTCGAATAATCAAGAAAGCGACGAAGATTCATATTATGATGATAAAATTTCTGAATACGTTTTTATGTGGGATTAAGAAAAAC